TGAAGGCTGGGGCGGGGAGTGGAGGGCAGGGTGGGGGCCGGGGCCGGGGCCCATTCCCTGCCCGCTTCGCTGCGAGACATCTGTGCCTTCCGATTTTCCCTTTGAAGCGTATGGGATTATAGTTTTACTCTATTTTAGGCCCGGGAGCCAAAACGGTACTACTAATAAACTTCATCTTATGGTGCATCTTTCATTCCAGCGCATCACAAAAACGCCGTAGAGATCGTAATAGTAGTTACAAAATTAAATGACACATTCGTGACGTGGGCAGCCCCGCAGCAGTTGCAGGGCCCGCTGTAAGAGAGGCGAGGTGGTGCCCTCAGGAAAGAGGCGGGCATTTTTCCCTGAGGGTGTCCCAGGTGAATGCGCTGGCGGCATTTCCCGAGCCCGGTCTGGGTCGCTGGGTCGCGGTCTGTCTCTTTTTCTCGCCCCCCTTCTCTTCTCTTGCTCTTTACACTCTCTCCCTTACCTCCTCCCCCAGACCTGTGAGACCAAACCTTTAATTAATGTAAACGCTGTTAGGAGAGCTGCTCAGAATTAAGAAACGATCCTTGTTTTTAACTGCTTCAGTACAAGTGAAGGAAGTTTTGGGGAGTGGGAATGTTACCTTCTCTCCCGGAATAATGTGTTATAAAAGTGTATCACTGTACTGTCAAACTTACTGCTTAAGTATTATCGGTGGTTCTGCGTTTATCCTGCGATATTTTTAGCTTTAACAAAAACAAAAAGTCTAGCTGGGACATTTGTTTCTTCTTTGTCCCTCTCTTCTCTCCCCCAGTGTAGAACTAGTAACAAAATCATGCTGTCACATTTACTGGTTATTAAAAACACTGAAGAATTCTGCTACTTTTCTTGCTTGTAGAAATTTAGCAGAGCTCTTAAATGTAACGCATATAAGAAAGTATCAGGATGGTTTAGGGTTCGGTGATACTGTGGGCTTCCTTTCTAAAACTGTTGGTGATTCCACATAATTTATGCAATTGTATATGTGATATCCAGTTTATTACTGTTGCTGTTATTTTTTAAATTCTTCATTATATGTGTGGTGACTTCTTTTCTGAGACTTTCAGGCTTTACTTATCGAGGAGCGAAAGGGTTTCATCGTTCTAACAGAAATCTTTATTTTTTTTTCTATAAGACAGATCTCACTATTCAGGCTGGCTTGAACTGACTGTGCAGCTCAGGCTGGCCCCGAACTTGCAGCAATCCTCCTGCCTGAACCTCCTGAGTACTGAGATTACAGGCATGTGCCACAATGCCCAGCCAGAAGTCCTTTTTGTAAAGAAGTTATTAGGTGGAATCCCAGTAGATTAACAAACTGAAAGTACACGAGAAAGATATAATTGAGAGAGGAAACTTACATATCTAGAAGAGAGCAGTAATGGCATAGTGTTCCCGAGAAGACAGAAAAGGGCAAGCTCCTCTTACATTCAAAAGAAAGAAAGCAAGAATGGGATAAGTACAACTCCCCCTTTGGAGGCAAAGTCACTGGCTCTGAATGGCCACCAACATGGGTTGAACAAGTAGTCCAAGGTTTGAAGGAAGTAGAAATTGTTTGAAAAAGGTAAGTGTCTGCATAGAGCACGTGCCAACAGAGTAGGGTTGTCTGGCAGCATCGAAGCCTGGTGGCAGTTGGTGGCCATGAACATGTGGGGTGACAACCTCTCTACCCTGTTGACCTTGTCTAGTAGTGCTCAGCTCCCTTGGAACCAGTGTAGCTGAGATAGGTGAATTTTTCAAATGTTCTTAGAAATTAAACTAAATTCTAACGTAAGAGCAAGTAGAAAGTTTCACTCAAGGTTGGGGTTTGCCAGATAACATGAAACAAAACGACAGCAGTCAGGGTGTTAGATTATGGGCCCAAGTGTGTTGTAGTGATGGTTTGTAGAATCAATCTCAGCTAGATAAAGAGTGAAAGTGAATCATGGAAAGAGCTGATGGGTTGGGCAGTAAGAAAATGGTATAGTATATGGTCAGTGAAGTAGTGGAACCAGTAAAACTGAAGACTGGTTAAAGTGGAACGACTGATACAGCATCGAGGGATGGCAGGGGATTGTGGGCAAAGGGTCCAGAGTACAACAGTGAGGGTGTGTGGCTGTTGTGGAGTGGCAGGGATGACTTCTGATAACTTCCCTTGCCCTCTCAGGATACCCTTTACTTAAGTATCTGCTGCTTGAAACAGGAAGAATAGGAAACAGTGGTAGGAGGAGTGTCTTAGTTACTTTTCTCTATGCTGAGACAGAAGACCCAACACCCAAAGTTAAAGGAAGAAAGGATTTTTCCGCTCACAGTTGATAGAGGTTTCAATTCATAATTGGCTGACTCCGAGGCAGAGTGGCACGGCAGAGTGGCATCACAGAGGAGAAACTAGTGGGCAGAAGGCAGCAGGGTAGCAAAGTAATAAGCAGCAAGCAACAGCAGCAACCCTCTTTCTGTCCCTTGTATTCTTTTCAGGCTGCGAGCACTCAGGGTGGGTAGCACTCACACCCAGAGTGGGCCTTCCCATTATCTTCCCCCAGAACTATGCCACACTAGTCAGTGGACCTCACTTGTGACCGCATGAGACTTTGGGGGGACATCTAGACAGCCATAACAAGGAGGGAAAATTTAAAAATCATATCTAACCCATATTCTTTACCTTAAATATGTTAGAAAATGGACTCCTTAAAATTTAAAGTAAATGGGATATGTTTCTTTGTTCACTGCTCTGCCCTTGTGCTATGTGTGATAAAATGCACCTCAACTTTGCCTCCTACTCAGTTTATTGGTCACTGTATAGTTTTACTTGAGCAGAAAGATACCATCTTGAGTTTAAGAAGCAAAAATAAAGGAAATAAGGGAAAAGAAAAAAAATATGAGAAAATGAAAAAATGGAAATAAAGTATTTGTAAATAGTGAAGGGAGGTCAGGGATAAGGGGAAAAATGAGAACCAAGATCTGTCATGTAAAAGTGCAAGATCCTAGTGATGAATGTAACTGTACTGTATACCTAAAATGTACCAGTAAACTCAATGAGAAAAACAAAACATTTCAGTGGTACATCTTCCAAATCAATGATATAATTATAGGAAGTTCAAGTAAGATCTCAGAGGTAAGAGGACTAGATTCATTCTAGTGGCTGTACAAAAATGACTTTACCTGGCAGCAATAAGTTAATGCATTTACTGCAGTACACTCATTCGATAAAAGTTTTGATTGCAGCTCTGCATGGTGGTACACACCTGTAGTCTCATCTCTCAGGAGGCTGAAGCAGGAGGATCACAGTGAGTTTGAGGGTAGCTTTAGCTACGTAGTTCGAGGCCAGCCTGATGTACATAATGCAACCCTGTCTCAAAAAACAACAAAACAGAAGTTTGGACTGTGCTGTTTTATTGAAATTTTAAATATGAATTTTAACATATTTAAAGTAGAACTTGGAGTTGCAAGGTTCTACTGAATGTAGTTTGAAAACCACTGCAGTGAACTACTACATAAGGGAAAGGACTCACATCCAAACTTCATCACTTAATAGATCTGTGAGTTTAGCTCAGCTTCCTTATCCTCTGTGTCTTTCTCTCCTGTATATTAAGGATAATAGTGATAGCCACATTATTGAGTTATTTTGTTAATTAACTGAGTCGATCCATGTAAAACATTTAGAACAGGGATGCTAGAGGGTAGTGCCTTTCGAAATGGCTTGCCACTTAAGCTTATTTCTTCCAGGTTCTTCTTGCCTTGAATAAAGAATTGGATGAGACACACCGAAAACAACAAAGGTTATTTAAAAAGTGAGGGGTGAAGGAGTAAGGAAAAAACTGCCTTTGCAGAGCAGACTTGGGCCAAAAAAAGAGGAAAGGAAAAATAAAAGTACTTCGTGCTCTAGAAGACAGAGTGGACAACCATGAAGAGTCACAGTATTGGACTACTCCTGACACTCGTGTTGTCCACATCTTGTGGGAGGCCATGAGAAATCCCACATATGAGGTCCTGGGAATTACCTGGTGTTGTTCTGGGATCTTACAAATGACAGGTCCCACTTATTTCCCCAGCCAGCTTT